AGCCGTTCTACGGATTTCTCAGGGGTTTGTTACAGAACATTAGTGGACAAACAGCATCATGAACTAACACAGTAGACAGGCCATGGAGAAAGTTAAGGATATGTTTAAAGCAGGGTTATGATCTAAAACGATATCCCACGCTTTGAAGAAGTCTTGTTTACATTTTGCCATAAGCCAAGCAAAAGGAAAAGCAAACAAATGCAAGAAGGTGCTTTCGTCAGATGAGACCAAAATTATACTTATTGCCCTTCATGCAAAAAAACTAAATTTGGCAGAAAAATAACACTGCTCATCACCCTGAACACACCACCCCCATTGTGAAACATGGTTTTGGCAGCATAATGCTGTGGGGATGGAAGCAGGTTAGAGTTGATTGGAAGATGGGTGGAGCTAAATATAGGATAATCCTGTCGGAAAAACTCTTAGATGCTGAAAAATACTTTAGACTGTGGCGGAGGATCACCTTCCAGCACGAACCTAAAAAATTTAGATAAAGCTTTTAATTGTGTCAGAAAGGTCCAGTCAAAGTTCAGACCTAAACCTGGTTGAGAATCTGTGACAAGGTTTGAAAATTGCTCTCCACAGGCGCCCATCATACAATCTGACAGAAGATGAGGGCATACATACATCTTATTTTGCAGACGTACAAAGCTGATAGAGACACATCCCAGAAGACATAAGGCTGTAACTGCAGCAAAAAGTGGTTCCATGATGAATTAACTTAGTGGGGCTGAATACAAGTGCACATCCCGCTTTTCTGATTTGTATTTGTGAAATTGTTAAAAAACCAGGTATCTGTTTGCTTCCACTTCACAACAATGCATTATTTTGTGTCTGTATTATCAAATTCCAGTGAAATACATGAAAGTTTGCAGTTGGAACGACACAAAATGTGAAACATTCCATGTGATATGAATACTTTTGCAAGACACAGCACAAAAAGCATACATGGTTTAAGTATTTCATTCAACTTTTTCAAATAGAGTTTTGCTGTTCATGTGTTCTTCACCTTCTGGTTATTGGTTATAACATGTTTTCCTAATGGGTGAGTCATTTATATCATAACCTCACCAAACTGGTTAATGGTTGGACCAAAATCATTTGCACATCCCAGTAATGATTTACAGGTTTGTGTCTCTTGTATGAGAAACTACACGCTGTTTTCCTGTGTCTGAGTTGTGTGCCAGTTAAAGGTGGTGAAGAGAATTCACACTCCAGTCTGAGGGACCACACCCAGAGCTTCACAGAAAACAAAAGAGCCCCGTTCTCACATCCAGGAGCCCGAGCTTGATTTGCATTGTAAACCCCGCTCTGTGATCAGTCATTGTATGCGGGGATACCGTTGATTGTTGTTGCAACAAGCGTCCATGAGTGTGTGTGTGCCTTTAACAGCTGATTGGCCATATTCAGAGCCGTAACAGAGTATTGTTTTATAGGTATAGGGTGTTACTATGTGTTAGGTATCACGCTAATTAGAATAGGGGCATAAGGCTAAACATTTAACTAGAGGCTTCTCAGTGTAAGTGGAACCTTTGGGTGTGAGAAATGGAGCTGCGTGCCATGGGACATTTATACCAACAATGCATTGTTTTTTTCTTGTTTTTGTTCCCAATATTACCATTTAAAATAATCTTCTATATTCTACTCAAGGTCTACTATAAGGAAATGTGATTATGTGACCCTAGTAAATAAAATCTACCAGTAGAAGTTCATTTAGAGTCAAGAGTCAATCGCCCCAAACAGGGATCAGAAACAAAATAAATAGAAGCAGGATGTAAGACAAAATTTTCAGAAAAGAATGTGTAATTAAATAAATTTAAGCATGAATAAAAAAGAATGTGATATGCCATGGTTTTAGTGCATGTATAACAAAACAATTGACCTAGAGCCAAAGATGGGACGTCACCACATCAGTGGTTCGGTACAGCTCTACTCGTTTTTAAGGCTTCTCCATGTGTAACAGTTACGTGGAACATTTACTATTTTTAGTACTTGCGTGTTTGCGGTTCCAACAATGCCGAGTCTTGCTGAAAACATGACGTCAAAACATTGTTGTTCACTGATTGGGTAGGGACGGCGTCTCTAGTCTTCAACCATTAAATCACTGTACACTGGGCTTATAGTGTATAAGACCAACATAGCAAGGTAGCATTAGCTGTGTTGTGAGCTGCAGTCCAGGATTGTTTCGTCGTCTTCTACTTATCCGGGACCGGGTCGTGGGGGCAGCAGTCTCAGCAGAGACGCACAGACTTCCCTCTACCAAGAAACCCCCTCCAGCTCCTCTTAAGGAAAGGCCGGGGACGGTCCCAGGTCAACTGAGAGACATATTGCCTCCAGCGTGTCCTGCATCATGTCCTGGGCCTACTCCTGGTGGGATGTGCCTGGAACACCTTCCAAGGGAGGCATCCAGGGGGCACCCGGGTCAGATGGCCCAGCCAACTCAGCTGACTCCTCTTAAAGTGGATGGGCAGCAGCTTTACTCCGAGCTCCTCCCAGTGTGTTTGTGTCACATACAAATCACATCGCATTACTTTTTCAGACTGTGGGGCCACCTTGCTATTGACTATCCTGCCCACACTGAGATGGTACTCAATCGAACCGGAAAACAAACCAAACTTAGCAAACATGCTATTGAATAGAACAGGTTCAAAAACAATCGCTGGGTGCCACAACTTGGAGCACTGGCCGACCAGATTCCACTGGTGTGTGGGTCATGCAGTAGAAAATAATGGGGGCGTAGGTTTTGACACATGTCGTACACCACCAGTGGGTGTTACTGCTTTTGCAAGTCATAGGGCTCTGACTGCCTTGCTTGGCAGCTAAGAGGTATAATAGTGGCAGGTGAATTTCAACTCCCCTAGACTGCCTTGGTCCTTTCAAGAATCACACAGACAATAAGAAAGTCCCAATTTGAAGGCTTTTGGTTGGTATTAGTACTTTTTGAACCTGAATTCCTAGATAGTCCTTTTACATAATTCAATGTAAAGTCAAGTGATTTCAGCAGTTTTTGTAGTCTCTCAGCTCTTGTGTCTTTCTTGGGATCATCACAGCTCCTGATTAAAGTAGCTCCGTTTGTGATTTAAGCTCTTACTGTTTGCAGTCCATTTTGGTGGTTTGTTCAGTTATCAAAGGGTGGTGTTTGGGAGATCTCGGGTTTCAGTAGGAAATCCGATGCTATGTGTTTTATGGATTACACTGACGTATAGCTGAGATACCAAGAGGCCCAGACAGAATACTTTCGAAGTTCAGTCATGAGAAAGATGTTAGGAATGAGTTGGTTCAGCTCCAGGGTTCAGTACTTGATTTGTTACTGATCCTAGATGGACAGCTGCCTCTCATATCTGACGTACTCACAGCTGCCCTCAAACACAGCCACCGCCAAGCCTTTATGCTCATATATAAGCAGAGAGTAGCAGTCTAGGGCTTCTGGTTGTTATGGCAGGTTGGAGGACAAATTCTGCAATGTGTCATATGTAAAATGTTTTCCAGTGTCACAGCGACCCTACTGTTACCTTTCCATCAATGCAAATACTGGAAGGCAGAAACGTGTACACAGGTCGCTTGTAAAAGCCAGACCTGTGGAAATGATGCCATGCCAAACTTAGCCATGTTCAAACTGCAACTCGTTTCAATATTTGGCAGTTTTTTGAATTTACTGTATGGTAAAATAGTGTATTAACAGTTTTAAATGAAGAAAAACACAAAAACAGATTTTTTTGGGGGGGTTTAAGTAAAAAAAAAAATACCACAGATGTGCAAGAACAACAGATCTTTTTAAATGTAAAGTTTGAGCAGAATACAATATATCTGCAAAAACATAATAGAGTATTTGTCTTTCAATGTGCAAAAACAGACCATAATTAAAAACTATTAGGAACTTTAAAGTTCCTAATGTGACAACAATTATTGATTCTGTTATTGTGTGATCAAGATCTTAGATTTTTGTGTCTAACTAAGATAAAGTAAATTATACAATTTTTGTTACTGTTTTAAACATTTCTTCCTTTTTAAATGGTAGAGATTGTTATACACTTTATTTGTTTTAACTAATATCTGGATAAATATTAGCTACACATTCCAAGAGAGACAATTTAAACCTTATGGGATTAACCTGATGAGTAGTTGAACGTACCCCCACCAAAACATATTTTGTTTTTTTCAGTTCAAACTGATTCTAGCGCTGAACCTCTAAGGTAGCTATAAGTATAACATAAACAATAATTGATCGGTTAAACTGTCTCCCCTCCACACTGTGTATTCTGTGTATGCTGAGGATACGCTGAAGTGACTCAAGCCCTGTCAGTCCTCTGAGACAGACTTCATAAGATGAGAGATGAGAGATGTGGTTAGTTGTTGTGGTTTTGCTCTAGGGGCACACTGGTTTGCACCTGCGTTGATCATCGTTTGCTATACACTTTCATGTGTACGCAGAGACTGGAGCAGCTACCCATCCTTCCCTGTTTCTTAGTTAGAGGACTACAGAAGGCTGCAGGGCTGATAAAGTGGAAATGGCCTGTTATTACCAAAGCGATGACAGCCACGTTGGGCTTGTATCACACACTGGCATACCTTTCGATGTGTGTAAGCAGAGGTCTCTTGTGTTGCGGAGTATTAAGCTGAAGTTTCACAATGTTCACCACATTTTAATTTACACCTTGTGAACTACATAATCTATACTTGTTTTTGCCCTTGCCTGCAAAACTAATGGGATTTAAGAAACATCCATCCATCTTCTATTCCTGCTTCTTCCGTACAGGGTTGTGGGGGAGCTGGTGCCTATCTCCTGCGGTCTACAGGCTAGATTCAGGGTAAACCCTGGACAGGTCACCAGTCCATCGCAGGGCAACACAGAAACACATAGGACAAACAACCAAGCACACACCCATTCACACCTAAGGGCAATTAACCTAACAGTCATGTTTTTGGACTGTGGGAGGAAGCCGGAGTACTCGGAGAGAACCCACGCAGGCATGGGGTGAACATGCAAACTCCATGCAGAAAGACCGCTGGCTGGGAGTCGAACCCAGGACCTTCTTCTGCAAGGCAACAGTGCTGCAAGGCAACGATGCTACCAACTGCGCCACCTTGCAGCCCAATTTAAAAAAACTTCCAAAAAATTTAACTGCCAAAGGAGAGCACATAAAAGTGATAGGCCACATTTATTGCCCGTCTTAGAGAATTTTAAAATCTACTTTTATCACTTTAATCGTCATTTTCTGTTCCTCGATGAAATTTTGTAATTGTTTATTGCCCGACACTGGACATAGTGATAGATGTTATGATAGTGAATTATTGTTTTTAAGATTTTATTATCACATCTTTTGGTTGTTTTATTTAAGTGTGCTCCCGAAAAACCTAATTGCAGCCCTGTAATCTTTCCCAAGCCCTGCTATAAAATAAGTAAATCTGTAATCTGCTAACATTAAAATTTGAAAAACTAAATTTAAGATCTATTAAAAACCAGACTGATTTTTATGTTTGGTCAAAAATGCAAGATTTTTATTTGACAGGTTTGCTTTATAATTAGGATAACATTGGAATATGATAGGGTTGAATTGATTATATATTTTTCCATATGAACTGGATCTTTTTGCCCTGAGATGACATTTGTTGCAAGTTGGAACTATTTAAATAAACTGAACCGAATTATTTCCCTCTTTGGAGAGACACTGACAGACCACCCAGATTTAACAACAGATTTGCATGGTTTCTATGACACATGGTGGATCAATAGTGCACAGATAACAGTTTACTGACACATGTTTGTGCCTCATTAAAATTTCACATTCTGGAAGATTTTACAAACTAGGGATCTGTGTCGGTATTCCAGTCGGGACCACAGGAATGACTTCACCTTCGAGCAGAATAAAGAAACATCCTCATAATTAGTACATATTTTGCTGCTTGTTAGAATGTCTGCATGTGCAGTCATGCACACAAAGTGCATTTTGCATTTGATGAAATGGCTTAACATACATACTCACTTATATCCACTCATTTTCAAAATTAAGCAAATCATATATTCCCATTCTCTTTTTCTGTCAGTAGCTTTTGTATGCATGCATGTGTCTTAACAACCAGGAGAGCCTTTGAACCAACATTCTCCGCAATCCACCTATTCTCCTCTTCTACTAAGACCCTCGAAACGTGTCGTACCACAACCAAAAAAGCCTCAATGACCCTAATTTCTTCAAGAGTGTCGACATTCTGCACTGATTGAGAGGGAGTTCTGAAACAGTAATTCATAAAACTATTAGAATTAGACTATGTGGGGGTAGACAAAAAAATCTGTGTGATGCTGGGACATGTCCCCCTAGGTGTAGCCAAAGTTTAAATTTATGGGTTCCCGGTGCTAATAAATCCCCTGAATTATTGGAGACAGGACAGAGGACGGGGAGAAAGACAAAGTATTTTGAAGTCATAAGAATCGTATTAGATCCAAAAAGTAGTGAATCATGTGTAACCTAATATTTGGAGTATGCTGTACCACTTTGTCAAGGTGTGATTACTAGTTTCCAGTAGTTTGTTAGATTTTAGGACAGATGAAAGAGTGAAGAGGATTTATAACTTTTTTTTCAGTGTTAAGTCTTTTGTGGATTTCTTGGTTTTTGTCATTGCTTTTGTGTTACTTGTGTTACGGGATGGGGCGGGGTCAGACATCCGACTCCATCCTCAAACCGTTTTGATTGGATAGTCCTATTTTATAATAAGATTTTATTGAAAAAAGGATCATATATTCCCAACAGGTTTCAACGTGGCAAAATTTATGATTCAATGTAATTTTTTTATTTTACGACAACTTTATGTTATACTGTGTTTCCATTTATTTTGAATTTTAATCCCTGGTCTTCCAACCAATTATGACCCTCTGAGTCGCCTTCTCTTGATTAAAAACCATGTTAAAGAAATATGAGCCCCTTATAGAACATTACTTTAAATTATCAGTTGTTAAAGATGTTACAAAACATTTCTAGTGTGGCAACAAATGGGAACATCATTGGTTGAAAATATCCCACAGTAGACAGCTCAATGAATAAAACTGCAAAGGGACGAAAGGATGCAGACAAATGGCCAGCATGACAAAGAGACACATTAAAGGGAAGCTCTCTTTTATTATTTTAATTTAGCCACATTGTAAGCTGTAGGGAATATTTGATTTTTTTTTTCCCCATAAATATATTGATATAAAAAAGGAAAAGAATAAATTGGTAGAAATAGGTGTGTCTTATTAGTGTAGTATAGTATCACGACTCAGAAGAGATTTAAAGTCTTTGCTCACATGACCTGGAAACTATTGAATAAAAACACATAATTTTCCATAAAACTTTTTATATAAATTGGAAATGAATGAAAATCTCAGCGGTTCTGAGAGCTTGGGTCACCTGGAAGTTATTCAAAGGTGCTGAAATACCCATGTCCCCAGTAGGTGCCAGTAACATCGACATTAGCGGCACATAAAATTTTGATGAAAGACCATTTTGAGCACTGCGGAAGTACTCCTAGGCTAAAGATTTTTCAAATATAAATTGACATCCCAGTGTTCACATACCAGTAGTGCCATTTTTCCGATTACGAAATTATTTCAATTATTAAAGTGTACCAGTTAGTCAGTTCCCCGCTTAGCAGATTTGTCTTAAAGAAACTAGTAAGTTGCCAGAAAGCGATATGTCTCTGTGCCCTCCCTTTCTTTTCTTTCCTGAGGCCAGCTTATTGTCAGGCACCATTCGTGTCATCCGTGTCATCCAGTACACAATGCAGTGACATTTACCTGACCCTGTAAAGGAGAAGATGAGGGTCGGAAAGAAATAAACATTAAAGAATGAGCAGAGAGAAAGATATGTGGTACAGCAAAGGGAGCTGAGCACCTCTGGAAAGGTCTCAAGTAGAGGAAAAGAATATCCAAAATAAAATGTATCAGAGGAAAAATTGTGAAATAGAAAGAGGCTAATCTTTCTTTATTATCCTCTTTTTGAGTTCAAAGAAACTGCCAGTGAGAAGAAAGTATTCCTCTCCACTCAACCGTATTGCTTTGTTACACCCGTGTTTCCACCCTGCTTGGCTTCCACCTTTATTACCCCCATTCTGAGCCCATTTACCCATTGCTTCCACTGACAATAGGGATGTAAATGGCTTCTATTGAATAGATTTTATTAGGCCTTTGTTTTCTGTATATCTGCTTGTTCTTTTCTGGTCTTGAAGGCAGAGATTCCTATTGTCTTTTTCACTTTTGTTGGTGGTTTTCTAATCTTTGCTTTCCTCTCCTGTGTGGTTCACTTGAAGGATCTCTAAAGGTAAACAGGATGAAGGCCAGCTGAGCTGCATTCAGTGAGTCCTTAAAATTCTCAGAGGACAAAAAGCCTTCATGAAGATAAAGTTCCATGTGTAATTAATAATTATTGCTCCAACTGTTAAATAGGTATTTTACTGTGATAAACACATTTCTGGGCCAATTTAACTAACCACACCCATCTGATTACTGCAAGACCTGTGATATTCATACATTTAAACGGAACCTGTCTTATGACATGAAGTAGGCTAAAAGATCTCCATCATGCCCCTATTTAAAGAAATTTAAGGCCAAGCAAAAGGACAAGCAAAGTCATTGACATATTTCATTCTAGAAAGAGTTATACAGCTATGTATAAGGCTTTGGGAATCTTGTAAACTGCAGATAGAGCTAGTAGCCACAAATGAAGAAAACACACATCAGTGGTGAACCTACCCAGGAGTGGCCACCCTACCAAAGTCCCTCCAAGAGTGCATCAATGATTTATCCAGGAGGTCACAAAAGAAACCAGAACAACATCTAAACCAATGTAGACTTCATTTGCTTCAGTTAAGGTCAGTGTTCATGATTCAACAATTAAAAATGAGACTGGACGGTGTGAAGTGTGGCATCTATGGGAGTAGTTTCAAATGGACTAACTGGAGCTGTGTCTGTATCGACTCTGTCTCCGTCTGCTTGCCTGTCTTCTCAGTGGTCAGTTATTGGATGAAATGCTTGAATGAATTATTGTACTTTACTGCTTGCTGACACATAAATGAATCATTGATTGAGCAAATGTTTGGCTGGGAGACCAACTGGCAAACAGCTGATATGTTACATATGTCAATCTCGTGTGTTATCCGGGGCAATTAGCCAAACAGTTGGGAGTGTATCAAACATGCAGAGGAGGATGCTTGCATAGTTAGTTTTTCAGGTTGCTTTTGTTTTGTTCAGGAGTTTTTGAGAAGCACTATGACCTACTGTAAATTGCTCAGACCATTGTGGAAATGCGTTCTTTGTATGGAAGTTGGTGAATTAAGCCACTCTAGTTGAAAACCACAGTGCAACTTGCATAATGTGCATTTATAAACATTACAGAATCAAAATATAGTTGATGTACAAGCCATGCTACTAAGTAAATGCACCATGACAACTCACAATTTGCAGTGCTGTCTTCATATAATTGTTAGCCTTCACTCTTCCTTCGACACCCTCAAAGATCCAACTAATCCATTAACAATTTATAGTGTTTCTGTTGACTTCCTGAACTTGACAGCAGGTCTGAAAGCAAGCCTTCGGGCCCCAAATACTCGACAAGATCACAGAAGGTGAAGCAGGCAAGGGAGCTTTGCCGTAGCTAATTGGGAATGAAAACCAACAATTATAGAAGGCAGCTTTAGAAAAAAAGTCACTTTTTACCCTTGTGTTTGATTTGCTTCCGCTTGCCTTCATTGGTTGACACCACAAATAAAGTGTGGAAAGGCAGTTATTCTTTCGATGCTTGTTAAAAGCAGATGTGCCCATTGCAGGGGATGTAGTTAACCAGAAAAAGGGAGGGTATGACTGATTCCCCTTAGAATAGAGAAAACAGTATGGCCTAAATCAAAAGAGAAATAAATTGTTATTGGTTTGTATTACTAATAGTAGATCCACAGCAGTTAGCAAACTACACTAGTTTTCTAACTTGCAACTAGGACATGCAATATTCATATGTAGCCTAATTTACACAAAGCATCATGGGTCATAGGACTATTATGTATCACTATTTTACACTCAATGATTTAGAAAAACACAGTTCGGGATTTATCGAACTTTTAATTTGCTTTT